AGTTCTTGGGTTATGAATTTGACTCAACTGCAATGTTAAGTAGCTTACTCGGTGGAACAAATATAATTGCATTTCTAGTGAACATCTATTGGATACAAATATGTATGTGGCTCCCCAAGACCTCCTTGAATACCAAAGAAGATGAAACTCATGGGCTGTTCACCTATATTTGACATGTAGTAGGGCTAGGGGGTTACTGGAATGACCCTGAGACCAGCCTACTTGGCAAAGGTACAATGGCGGAGACGCAAAGCAGCCCCTTTACCAAGTGCTGGGAGTTAAACAAACAACCAGCGTATTGCATAGCCCCTCTCCACTTTCAAACGCCGTCACCGGCGCACACCTAGGTCAATGGCCCGCGTCAGCCATCGCAACGTAATTAGTGTTGTACGAACAACACAAGAGCCAACTGTGCCAGCAATCAGATTTTCATGCAACTGAGAGGATACTCGAGCACAACATTACCGATCCCTCTTGGCAATTCTGCTGAATCTGGATTTTCATACTGTATGGGAAGCGGATTCGGGAAAGGGGAATTGTGCTGAACATCACGCGCCTTCACCTGGCGAAGGTACAGTGGTGGGGTACCTATGTGACTCCTCCACCAAGTTCCATAAATAAGCAAACATTCAACTTTTCCCACATTTAGTCAAGGCAATAATTTCACTTACGCAGCTGCGAGGCCGTTCAAACCTCTTCATGCATCTTCTCTGCTAAGGTAGGAAGAGGAGTGGTGATTGTCTGTGTCAGCGCGGTTTATTCTGTCTGTCAAGCTGTCAGCCTTCGCGGTTGTGAATCCTAATTATTGCAGCGCCTCGACCCTTATTTAAGATACCGAAATAGGCTAAAGCAGCGTAAAGGAACAGAGGAGTTGGGAGTAAATTAAGCTGGCTAGAAGGCTATGTCCTAGGGTGGAAATGGAATCCATAGGGGCTAAAAGGCTTGCAAAAATGAGCACTTTTAAGCAAAGCTGAATGCAGTAATGAGGGAGGGAGGGAGGGAGGGAGGGAGACCATTTGTTGTGTCAAGCATTGAATACTTTTAGCAGCACAAATTCGTCTCCTCAGGCGTGGAACTGAAACATACAAGTAGAAGAGTAAACTATCATCTAGACTACTGACGATTATTTAAAGAGAGGTTAGCAAATTATGTCTTGCTGTTCAATTTGTCTTTAAGAACCTCAATTTCCACTTAATTCATTAAACAATTCACAGGTTTCTATTTCAGAATTATGCGAATTTTATGCTAATCCCCACATTTTCTCTTTCTGCAAATGGTCTGATTGTCATTGACAATGTAACAGCTAATGCGGGCGTTAACTTGCCTTCATACGCATGATAGACATCAGACAAAGCGTTTTGCATCAGTCATTTGATATACGCCTACTGTATCAGTTCTGCTTTATTTTCCTTTTGTCTAACAGTTCTCACCACCATCTTACTTTTGTAACACTTACCACTCAAGAGGTATCAATCAAAATTGGGAAGCATTTGGAGTACATTCTTGCTTCATAGTGTTGAACTTTGTCACAATTTATTTCCCTAAGCATTCCTCATCGAGGCACATTCTTGATGAGAATCTTGGTTTTGTGAAAGGCCCTGCCTCTGGAAGCTGAAGACTGATCTTTAGCCACCCTTATCTCTATCTCGCCCTCCTTCCCCTCCCCCAACTTCCTCTTCTGCTTCATTTGTCTAATGTCAAGACCACGACATGGTGGCATCCATTTGGAGCCTAACTAAATATGAGAGAAAGCATCTTCCTCTCTTCTATTCCAAAGTGAGGCGTGTGATATTCAAAGGAGTAAGTGTAACGTTGTGATGTTGGAGGTTTTACGTTGTTAGGTGAGACTGGGACATTCTTTTATCTGATTCTCTAGTTCTCACCAGCCTGGCTG